CAGTTACCTGGAGCCCCTGCATCCAGTTCCAGGCTTTTGCTAAACAGGAGGAACAGCCGGGAGGGGAGGGATGATGGGGCAAGTTCTCGGCAGGGAGTCTGAGCCGACCTGAACCTGGCTGAGAATGGCGGGCGTCACCCCACATCGGGAGTGGCAGCGGCAGCGGCAAAGGCGTGTGGCTGGGCGTGTTGGGAGGCCTTCTGGCTACAGTAAACCACGGAGCACACAGTGGGGCGTGGCTAAGGGGCAACACAGTCCTGGGGGTCAGGGCGCCCCAGTCCTCCTCCTCGGCCCTCTGAGCCTGTCTCCCTGTTCAAAAACTGGAGCCAGTTGTCACCATGTTGTGAGAATCAACAGAGGCAGCTCATTGGCAACACATGGTGAGCCCTAAATTGCTAAGCAAACATCGGTTGATGTTTTATTTTGAACATTGTTTCAGGAAGCCTGGATCAAATTGGTGTTGGGGACTTTGGAAGAGGCTGGGGAAGTCAGAACCGCCCCCCCCATGGGAAGCCCCCGGAAGCTGGCCCGCAGGAGAGGGGCGGGGCCAGGTGGCAGGGCTGGGGCGGGAGCAGCCGCAGGTGGGCCTGGCCTCTGTGGTGTCTGCAGGACACCTGCCCAGCCGCGGAGTTCAGGGACCGACCCTGTGTCCCTCGGCCACATGCCCCCTGGCAGCGCTGAGTACAGAGGCCAGAAGCAGACACCACTCATAACCAGGGCCATGGGGGGGATGGGGGACGTGTGGCCTCGTGCTTCCAAGGGGCGCGCTCAGGGCTGCGGCCGCCTGTGATGAGAGGGCGCGGAAGGCCCTGGAGGGGTGCCCCGGAGGGCAAGGCCTCGAAGGGATTCCAGGCCGTGCCCAGCCTTATCTGGGCCTCTGTTCAAAAGGAAGAGATGTCAGCCAAAGACGGAAGGTGCTGGGGAGCTTGCGCCTCCCTCCGGCTCGGCTGTCTCTGGCCTGAAACTTGTCCCACTTCCGGGACCTGCCCCTCCTTCACCCGAATGGAGGCCCATTCCAGGCCCGGTCCAGGTTCCCAGCACCCTGCTCAGCTGGAGAGGCTGCTGTCAGCTCAGTCAGGCTCCCACACTCTGACACCCGCCCAGGGGTCCCGGCACAGACGCACCTTGCTCGGGGCCAGGGCAGCAGCAAGGACGGCCAGGGGCCTGCAGGGCATGGGGAACACATCCTGCTGCCCTGGGGACGGGGGCGAGGGGCCGGGGCGCAGAGGCGGCCGCGCTGGCATGCGCTGCGGGGCAGCCGCGGGCACTGCGGCGTCCCCCCTGCCCCCCGCCCGCAGCTCACCGCCCCTGACAGCGGCCGGAGGCCGTGAGCCCGACGGGACCGTGGCCGCCAGCCTGAGCCCTGGTGGCGAGCACTGTGGGGCAGAGTCAGCGATGACGCGCCCTGGCCCCCCTTCCCGCGCCCTTGCCTCACAAGCCGCACTCCAGAGGATTCTCTCGTACCCCTGGGTCTTCGCAGGTGCTGGGCTTCCTGTTGGAAATGTCTTCTCACATCCACACCTTTGCTGACCAACTCGTATTCATTTCCCAGGCTCAGCACGGCCATCGCTTTGGGGAGAAGACCTTCCCAGGTGTCAGGTCTGAGCGCGGCGGCCCCGCTTGTTCCTCCCACGTCCTCTCTCACCCACGCTCCTCAGAAAGCTTCCCCCTGGGACTGGCCTGAGACTTGCATGTCCTCCTCACTGGGCTGGAAGCGTCCTGAGGGTTCACCAGTCCACTCCCAGGGCCCGCAGAATGCCTGGTGTATCTGCTCACTACAAATGTGCAGTATGGATGGGAGAATAAAAGCAGACCATTGGTTGGACAGATGGATGGGCAGGTGGATGGACGGATGAGTGGGAGGGCGGGGGGTGGTGAACTCCTCAGCCACCTGGCAGACATCGGGGACACCTCGGGCGGGTCGGCACACAGCACAGCCCCCCCAGTGGCCAAGGTCTCTGGGCTCTTGTGGGAACACCTGCCTTGGAGACCGTCGGTCTCAGCATGACACTCGGGCCTCGGGAGAGACTGTGGAGGAGACAGCAGCTCTGGGGGGAAGCTGAGAACAAGGAGCAACAGAGTTGTGCCTCGGCCATAGCTGGAGAGAGCTGCGGCCCTCGGGGAGAGGCATTGTGGAGGGGGCTGGGGGTTGCTGAGGTAACCTGGAGGGTGAGCATTGGGGGCTGGGAGGAGCTTGGGAGGGAGAAGCTCAGGGCAGTGCCGCTGGGCTCAGGGTGGTGGTGGCAGAGGGTTCTCACCTCAGCCCCAGGGTCCCAAGTCTGGGCTTGTTTCCTTCACTTTTCCCAGCCATTCAACCAGCAGGAAGAGCCCTTGGGCAGCTGGGCAGGGGCTGAGGGGAAAGACAGCTGGTCCTCTGGGGAACAGCTGGGCAGAGGCTGAGGGGACAGACAGCTGGTCCTCTGGGGAAGGCACCACGGCTGGGGGGCCCCCTGGCTGTGGCGGCTGGTGCGCACCCCCCCTGCCCCCACGGCCTGTGCCTTGCTGGCAGAGCTGGGGATGTCCAGGTGCTTCCAGGAGCACGGAGAAGGGAGAGACGTCAGGTGGCAGGACTGGACAGGGAGAGACCCCGTGCTCACCAGCACCCCAGCACCGCCTGCGCCGGGCTTCCTGGTGAGGACCAGCCAGCGACAGACGCCCCCAGGCCAGAGGCGGAAGAGGCGTGGGACAGCCCCACAGATGGGAACTCTGGGCTCATTGAGCCCCCTCCACCTACACATCAGGAGCCGGAGGCCCAGAGGAGGTCAGTGGTTTGCCCAAGGTCACACAGCAAGCAGGGTCAGAACCTTCCTGATTCTACATAGACCGGCTGGGCCAAGTTTTCTCCCTCCCCAAGGCAAGTGGTGGAGACACCGCGAGACCACTCACTCTCTTCCGGGTTTGTCCCCATAATCGACATGAGTTCTGCCACCCGAGGAAACTGCAGAATGTCCTGTGGGGGTCTGACTGCCTGGCTTTGGACTATGTATGACCCTGGACAAATGATTTGACCTCTCTAGCCTCAGTTTCCTCATCTGGAGCACAGTACCTCTTTCACAGGTTGTGTTGTTGAGTGTGAGTTCGTGTACATGCTCGGAACAGCGCCCGTGGGCAAGAGTGTGCAACGTGTTTGCGTGCATAAGGGAGCAAGTGTGAGCACCTGTGTGAGGTGCCTCGGGGCAGGAGCGGTGGGTTTGTATCGGAGAGTTGATGAGCGAGCATGAGTGTGCGTGTGGGTGTGCAGCTGTGAGTCTAAGCGCGGGCATGTGTGAACCTGTACGCACGTGTGCGGGAGCGTTCGGGGGAGTGTGTGCACAGTGGGGGAAGGGGGAGTATTTGCATCCTGTGTGTGTGTGAATTCACATGGCAGGTCGCGAAAGGGGCTGACTAGACAGGCGAGTGAGCATGTGCGCTCGTGTGTGTGAAGCAGCCCCTGCCTGCATCGGGGGCCTCGGAAGCTCCCCAGACAGGGTTTCCATCTGAGAGACCGTATTTTTGGCGGCTGAAGCTGGTTTTTCCAAAAATGCCTTCACCCCTCACCTCCTTCCAGCTCAGAAGCTGGAGCCAGAGCTCAGAAGGTGCCGGCCTGAGCCGGGCCTCCAGGAGCCTGGTCCCACAGGGAGGGAGGGGCCCGATGTTTTGGGGGAGTGAATGGACCCGTGGATGAAATAGTGAATGAGTCTGTCTCCAGGGCCCGAAATTCACTCCATCCCTGTAGCTCAAGCTCCTGAAACCCAGGGCCACCCCCCTGTCCTGGCCCCTCCCTATCGATTCTGTTCTCATTGAAGTCCCTCTCAGCCCCCCGGGGGAATCTAGGGGCCTGCCTACCTTGCAGGGCGAGGCGGCTCACCGTGGTCTTTCCTGTCCCCATGAGCTCCTGGGGTAAGTGAAGACCCCATGGAGTGCCTCCCTGGGGCCATCACCCGCATTAGAGAACAAGGAGCCCCCTTCCCTTTCCAGACACCATGGTCCGCGTGCAGGTGCACTGGGCCAACCTACTAGTCCCCTCCTGTGCGGGGCTTGCCTACCAGCCTCAGCAACTTGGCGTGGATCTGGCCCTTTGACCCTGGGGGACCACACTAGAGCAAAACATCAAGACATTTGACAAGCCCAAAGAGGAAAAAAAAAAACGCACAAAAACCCCCCCCGAAACATCCATGGACTCATGATTTGACTCTGGCTTCATGGCAGATAATGGCAGCTGAGTTCACCGGCTGACATCATGAGAGGGGCAGCCAACACTGGACTAAGAGGCATTACTTTTGATTTTGAAATTTTCTTTCTGCAGTTTGGAGACTCTTGTTTTCTCATCAGGTTTCAATCCCCCTCGGAGTCTGGAAGTGCTCACAGGCCTGTGGAGCCTAGGGGTGTGATGGGGCCGCCCAGGCCGGACCCCCGCCGCCAGCCTCCCTGGACAGGAGCGTCTCCTCGGAGCCTAGGAGGGGCCCTGAGAGCAAAGGGCAGGCCAGGCCTTTCTCCAGGAGCACAGCCCTGGGTGTCGCGTCGCGCCCACCCTCCCCTCGGCCAGCCCCTCACGGTGCCCAGGCCCCTCGTGGTGCCCAGGCCTGGGCTGGGGCCCTTCCCGGTACCCCGGCTCCCGCCCACCTCCAGCTCTGTCCTCCTGACCTGTTGTGCACGCAGCGGCCAGAGTGACCAGGGATGGCCTCTTGGGTGCGTGGCCAGTGTCGTCACTGAGAGCCGGTCCGCAGAGGGCTCTGTGCCCGGGGGGGCCGTGCTCTGCCATCGCCATCTGGAAATACTTCATAACTGGAGCTTTGAGTTTGTGTGGAGCACACACCCTCCCCCTCCCTGTTCTTATCTTTTCCCGTCTCCATGGTGACTCACCGCTTCGGCTTGCCTGCATCCCAGCCCCTGCCAGGGATTCTGAGCCGGGCTCTGCCCCTCCCTCCCCCGGAGCCCGGGCTCCTGCAGTCCTGTCCCCTCCCCTGGGGTGAGTCCAGAGGCAGCCTCCTCTCTCCCGACTGTCACATCTATTTTTCAGCTCTGACGAGTCAGCACCTCGGGGGAGACCATCCCCCACACCCTCCACCTGTCACAGCTCAGCAGCCCGGCCACCCTTGCTGCGCCTGACGGTCCCAGGGGCCTCCGCCCTCGGCTCTAGACCCGCGCCCCCTGCCAGCCTCCCATGCCCAGGTCCGCCTTGTCCGTCATCTCCTTCTGTCACTGGTTTGGCAAACAGGCAAGTCTTCTCCTGAGATTTGGGGGAGGGGGTGTGGGTGGGAAGGGGCTGCCTGGGGACGGGGTGGGCGTGCAGGCGGGGGTGAGAGGCTGCTAACATCTGAGATGAAGACAGAAATCTGGGTCCTTGTCAAAATGACGTTTTTTGTTTTTATTTTTTTCCCCCAAATTTCCTCGCCAAGGAGAGAAAGCAGAGCTTCATGGGAAACCACAGCAACAGTTGGTAAGTGGTAGGGCCTGCGGGCAGGGCTGGTGCAGCGGCCCCGCAGGCCGGCTGGGCCAGGAACAGGGAGCCCTGGCTGTGCCAGGGGCGGGAGCTCAAGGCTGGATCTGCCTTCATCCGGAACCTGGAGGGGGTGGGGACCCGGATAACTGGGTGGGTGCTGCAAGGAGGCGGGTTCCAGCGCAGAGTGGGAGAGTGGAAAGACTCTCCTAAGATCAGGAGCCTTCTGCCCCCCCACCAGGGGGCTCCCACGCTCCCCTCGCAGTCCCTCCTCTGGTGTGTTTAAGCCACCGTAGGAGTTTGTGGAAAGGATCACTCATTAAGCTGTCCATCCTGGTCAGTAATTCCTTGAGGGACCCCTGGCAGCAGGAGGCCGTGGGTGAGGGTTTTCCTGAGCATTTGTGCCAGGCGCTGGGCAGGGAGCATGAGCGGCACCTGCGCGGCGCCGGGCACGAACCGTCTCTCAGACCCCTCCATCGGCCCCGCGAGGCGGGCGCTGCTCCCCTCTCCTCTCAGACAGTTAGGAAACTGAGGCTCTGCTCGCGGGGGAAACTTGCCCACGGTCGTATGGCAGAGCCCGCTTTCATCCCTTCCAGGCTGTCTCCCTCCCCGGGGCCCGCTCCCCAGGCTCGGCTGCCCCCGCGCCGGGGTCCCCAGGCTCTGCGATGCAAGCCGCGAGGACCGGGCAGAGCCGGCAGAGCGTGGCCCCCCTCGGCGCGGCCTGCCCCTCAGTTCCAGGCCTGTACCCCTTGCGCCCCATGCGCTGCCCTCAAACGACCCGTTCTGCCCCGCAGGTCTCACACACCCTTCCCCAAGGTGGAGCTGAGCCTGGGGGCCCGGCACGCGGCGCCCCGCGAGCCCCCCGCCTGCGGCATCTGCCTGGAGCGGCTGCGCGAGCCGGTCTCGCTGGACTGCGGCCACGACTTCTGCGCGCGGTGCTTCAGCACGCACCGGCCGCCCGGCGGCGAGCGGCCCCGCTGCCCCGAGTGCCGCCAGGCGTGCGCGCGCCGGAAGGGCCTCCGCGGCCTGCGCGACAGGATGAAGGGCCTGCTGCGGGGGCCCCCCCCCGCGGCCGCGCAGGTCTGCGGCCGGGCCTCCCCGAGGCGGGGAGGGGGCGGCGTGGGGAGGCCCGGCCCAATCCCGGGGGCCGTGCAGCTTCGCCCTACCCCAGGATGTCGGGGTGAGAGAGGGCGCTCGGGGCTGGCCACGCTCCAGACGTGGGGCCCGAACGGCGCCGCCGGGAGGCCGAAGGATGCTTCTCTCTCCCGGCCAGGAGGCCTGTGCCACGAGGACCGAGCCCCTTCTGCTGGTGCGCATCAGCGCCTCCGGAGGCCTCATCCTGCGGATGGGGGCCATCAACCGCTGCCTGAAGCACCCCCTGGCCAGGGACACCCCCGTCTGCCTCCTTGCCGTGCTGGGGGAGCAGCACTCAGGGAAGACCTTCCTCCTCAACTGCCTGCTCCAGGGGCTGCCGGGCCTGGTGAGGGCGGGCTGAGGGCGGGCTGAGGGCGGGCTGGGGCCGCGGCTGGGGCAAGGTAGGGGTCCCAGCCTGGCTGTGGAAGGGGAGTCGGGGTGGGATGCATCCGCCCATGTTCTCTGCCCTGCAGGAGTCCAGTGAAGGCGGCTGGCTGAGAGGAGGGGGCTCCCTGGAGGGGCCCCGATGGGGCGCCAGCGGTCTCAGCAGGGGCATATGGATGTGGAGCCACCCCTTCCTGCTGGGGAAGGAGGGGAAGAAGGTGAGGGGAGGAAGCGCAGGGGAAGTCAAGATTGGGTCAGGGAAGAGGAGGAGAAGAGAGCAAAGAGATGGGCAAAGGAGAGGACGATGGAGACGAAAGCTCTGGGGCGAGGAGGAGAAGACGGGGTGGCAGACGTCCCGAGGCAGGCCTGACCCCCTCGGTTCGCCCCTGCGGCTGCACAGGTGGCTGTGTTCCTGGTGGACACGGGGGACGCTATGAGCCCTGAGCTGAGCCGGGAAACGAGGACGAAGCTCTGTGCGCTCACCATGATGCTGAGCTCCTACCAGGTGGGGGCGCTGTGCTCAGCTTTCTGCGAACGTGGGGCATCTCAGCTGGGTCGGGCCCTGAGAGCACAGGGCACCGTCGCCCTATCTCGAAGGCTTCTGTGTACAGGGTCCCCGCCGATTCTGGGGGTGCCCCTGCAAGGGAAGGATGCCTCCAGATGGTGAAAGTGGGAATATCGCTTGTTCAAAGGCGGGTCAGAGGTCCCTGGGGGGCAGCGGAAGCTCTGCGGGATCACCCCCCGCCCCTCCCCCCACCCCCGTCCCCGCTCCCGCCTGCCTGCCCTCCGTCTCTCACAGCCAGCTGCCCTGCGGGCTGTGAAGGCCCCTGGCCGGGCTCTGCAAGGTCCTGAGGCCCACAGCCGGCCGGTGAGCGTCTCCCTCACTGGGGTCTTCCCAGCCTCTTTGCCTTTGCAGACCCTCTTCCATCTTGTTCTCCTTGGTTCCAGATCCTCAACACTTCCCAGGAGCTGAGGGATACAGACCTAGAATATCTGGAGGTGAGGAGACATCTGGGGTTGGGGGGCCACCTGTCCCTGCCTTGACCGCAGGGGCTGGGCCCAGCCAGAATGAGGTGCTCTCCAGCTCTGGCCCAGGACTCCATGACGTGGGGCTGGTTTGGGGGGCGTGAGGCAGAGGGTGCCGCAGGCGCACCTGGCTGGTGGGAGGCCGTGGAGGCCTGGAGCGGGGAGCCTGGGTGGTACAGTGGGCCCGGAGGGAGCAGAGGCACCGACCCCGGAGAGGCCCAGCTGTGACCCTCACTGTCCCACCTCTAGATGTTTGTCCATGTGGCTGAGGTGATGGGCAGGCATTATGGGATGGTGCCAATCCAGGTGAGATGCCTATTTGTGGACTCGTCGCTCCAACCCAGGCACCCGCGAGCTGCTGGTGTCGGGACCTCTTCTCTTCCAGCACCTGGATCTCTTAGTTCGCGACTCAGTCCATCCCAACAAGGCAGGGCAGGGGCACGTGGGCGATGCCCTCCAGGTGAGTGTGCAGAAGCGGGGGAAGGGCCGGGTGGACAGGCAGGGGCGAGGGATCCTGCAGGTGAGCTAGGAATGGGGCTGGACCGCTAGCTCAGAGATCTCCTCATCCGTCTCTCAGAAATGTGGCAAATACCCCAGGGTCCGGGAGCTGCTGCAAGGGCGGCAGGCCCGCTGCTACCTCCTGCCCTCCCTGAGGAGACGCTGGGCCCGCGGAGACCAGGGAAGCCCGGGCAGTAAGTGTCCCCAGCAGCACAGGCCTCCCCAGCTTGCGCTCCTCTGGGTGGCCGGATCCTTCCCGAGTCTCCCAGCCTCTGACGCCCTTTCTCCCCACCCCCGAAGCCCAGTCCTGCTCAGCCCCTCTCCTCAGCATGAGAAATGTCTCCCGCAGACACAGAGGATGATTTCCGCCATCTGCGAGCCTACGTTGCGGACGTGCTGAGCGCCGCGCCCCAGCACGCCAAGAGCCGTTGCCAGGGATACTGGAGTGAGGGACGCCCGGTGGCCAGGGGGGACAGCCGCCTGCTCACAGGGCAGCAGTTAGCTCAGGAAATCAAGGTGTGAAAAACTCTCCGGAGACCCAGGAGAGCCCGCTGGCCCTCTGCCCTCCCTGACACCTCCGATGGTGTTTCCGCAGAACCTCTCGGGCTGGATGGGGAGGACCGGGCCCGGCTTTGCCTCTCCGGATGAGGTACAGGGCTCCCTGAAGGGATCCAGGGGGCTGGGAGGGGGTGAGCTGGTGCACCCGGGACCAGGGGAGGAAGGGGGAGGCAGCCTGGGTTTTCCTATGGACAGATGGCTGCCCAGCTGCATGACCTGAGGATGGTGGAAGCTGCCAAGAGGGAGTTTAAGGAGTACGTGCGGCAGCAGGTGAGCCCCCGGGCCTGCAGAGGGGCCAGGTGCCTGGCCAGGGGGCCATAGAGGGAGAGGGCTCCCGATGCTCCTGGTCAGGGCCTTCTTTCTCCTCTTGGCCTCTAGGACATGGCCACCAAGCGCATATTCTCTGCGCTCCGGGTCCTGCCCGAGACCATGCGGAACTTCCTCTCTGCCCAGAAAGACGCCATCCTGGCTCGCCATGGAGCAGCCTTGCTGTGCCAGGAGAGAGAGCAGGCCTTGGAGGCCCTGGAGGCCGAGCTGCAAGCCGAGGCCAAGGCCTTCATGGATACCTACACCATGCGCTTCTGTGGCCACCTGGCTGCCGTGGGGGGCGCCGTGGGGGCCGGGCTCATGGGCCTGGCCGGGGGCGTGGTGGGCGCGGGCATGGCCGCAGCGGCGCTGGCTGCAGAGGCTGGGATGGTGGCTGCTGGAGCTGCGGTGGGGGCCACGGGGGCCGCTGTGGTCGGGGGCGGTGTGGGTGCTGGGCTGGCTGCCACTGTGGGCTGCCTGAAGGAGGAAGAGGAGGAGAGGGTGCAGGAAGGGGACCGAGAGCCCCTCCTCCGGGAAGAGTAACAGCCCCTGGGAGGCAGTGAAAAGAGGGAGAGTTCGAAGGGGGAGGGAAGGAAGTTGGGGGGTTGGTACTCTGAGGACCCCCATGTTCTGCTCTTCCCTGGCTGAGGGCCTGGTGTCTGCGTGGCTGACTGCGCCGAAGAATCCAGGTGGCCCCCGGAGCCCTGGCGGGGTTCCAGGGGCCAGGAAGCAGTTTTCAGGGCACTAAATAGAATATAGGCCTGTTTTCGGTTGCAGATAATCGCTAACCTGCCATCGATCCAAATGCACTTGACTGCAGCGTCTCCCACCAGGAGTGAGGCTCCAACCTCCCTACCGTGGCTCGTTTTCCCAGGATCCTGGGAAGGCTGAGTGACCTGGAAGGCCTCCCCCTGGGCGGGGAGGGCCTGTCCTTTCACAGATGGGAGCAACCCCAGGGCGAGTGGCCTTGGTGTTTAGGGTCGGGGAGCACTAATGAGGGGCTGGGGAAGGGGGCGCCAGACAGAACCAAAGACTCTGTGTGAGGTGGGCGGTGGCCGCACCCCTAGAGTGGGGAGACTCGTCCCCGTCCCCGAGACTCGTCCCCGTCCCCGCGACTCTTCCCAAGCTGCCCAGCGGGACAAAGGTGGCGCCCCTCCTCCCGAAACCCCGGGGAGGCTGCATGTGGGCCTGGAACAGGGTCTCCCGCTGCGCCCTTTGTCACACCGGGTCAGACGCAGAGTGCCTGTAAGACGCGCCTGTAAGACACAGAGGGACGCAGGCCCCCTGGAGTGCCGCCCCAGCGGCAGGTTACGCGCCACCCCGCCCCCCGCCCCCGACTGTATTTGGAACCCAAAGCGAGCGGCCCTGGGACCAGTCTGGGGAAGGCCTGCCAGCGCCAACAGGGGAGACCGTGCTGTGCTACACGCCCACCCAGCCTGTGAGGGGGCCCCTCCGTTCCACATCAGCGGGGGGCCTGGGTGCAGCCCCCACAGGGAACCCGAGGGCCCAGTGCCCCTCCCAGGCATCAGGGAAGTCCTGCTAGGACAAGTCCCAGGCCACTGAACTGCGAAGGGTTAGTGGGCCCATTCTACGAAAAATAAAATGTGTGTGCTTGAACATTGCCTTTCCAGGAAGTTATTGAAACAGTTTTGCATTCAGTCCCCAGAGGGCTTTGGGGCAGAAGGGGGTGACCCCAGGCGCTTGATTCAGGGACTCACGGTCGGGAAGGCGGAGAGTGAAATTCAGGAGACCCGGGAGCTGAGCGCTGAGCCCCCGCCCCAGGGCTCCAGGGGGGCCGGCTGCAGGCCCAGGGCGTCTGCCTCCCAGCCTTGCCTGCTGGGACTTGGGTCCCACCCCCTGGGTCTCCCCTGCTTCCAACGGCCCTGGCAGGAGGAGAGAATGGAGGCAGGGATGGGAAGTCCCTGCTGAAGCTGTGGAGAGAGGAGGGGCGCAAGATGGCTGCTGTGGGGCCGACCGCTGAGGCTTCCCCCGGCCCCCCTCAGAATGCAGCAGTGGTCTGGTCGTGGCGTCCAGGCCCGGCCTGGTACAGGCGCAGACACAGAGAGCGCAAGCCTCGGCCGAGGCCCCCCGCTGGCCGGCAGCAAGAGCAGGGGGGTCCTGAACCCCTGATCCCCCTGCTGGCGTTCCTCCACAGGCACTGGAAGAGGTTTTGTGAGACTGGGCTGTGCTGAAATCAAGGCGCTCCTCCTGGGTGATTTCTCCCCTCACGCAGTCCAGCTCTAAGGAGCACTGTTGGGGGACAGAGGCAGAGAGATGTGGTCTGGCACACAGGGCTCCAGAGTAGAATTGCCATGAGTAAGCTGGGGACAAAATGATGATGCAGAGAAATCTCAAAGCCAGGGCGGAGGACGGGCAGGGTGAGGACCGAGGGCTGAGGGCGGCTAACTTCTGAAAGCTGAGCCAGAGGCGGGGCCAACGCCCTCACTTGGGAGGTCTCTGCTGAGAGAGCCTTCCCGAAAGCCCTCGGTGGGGGTCGGGGGATGGGGGGCCCTTCCATCATCATCTGGTGGACACAGAGCCACAAACCTCCCAGACTTTGGGGCCGGCAGCCAGGACTCAGGGAGGGGTGGGGGACATTAAGAGGAGTCACAAGCCCTGGCTGATGCCAAGGTTGTGGGTTCAATTCCTGGTCAGGTCACATACAAGAAACAACCAATGAACAAAGTGATATTCTCTCTCTCTCCCTCTCCCTGCTTCCCACTCCTCAAATTAATAAACTTTAAAAGATTTAAATTATAAAAAAAAAAAAAAAAAAAGAAAAGAGACCCAGAGAGCCTAAGACCCTTCCACCATGCGAAGACATGGCCAGCAAAGAGCCAGGACGAGGGCCCCCGGCAGCCGCTGCTCCTGACGGCGCTGGGGGAGGAACGGCGGCGGTTGTTGCTGGCAAAACTGGGCCTCAGTTCTGGAGTTTGGTAAGGAAGGAACTCAGAGTCACAAACTCAAATTATAAGAGAAAGTTTACTTAGAAGATTGCAGAGGTGGTAGGAATGAGCCAGTTGGGCCGGGAGGCTCAGGAAACGAGTTACAGGGACAAAAGTGGGGCCCCTGGGGCTGAGGAGAACGAGGGCAGAGTTGAGGCCCCTGCGGGGGAGGAGAGGGGAAGGGACAGGGTGCTGCCCTCCCAGGACAGCGGGGGAGCGGGAGTGTGGCGTCCTCTGTCTTGAGGGTTTTAAAGGCTGGGAGTTTAAGGAGGTCTTATGGGAGGATCCCAACAGAATGCTCGTCAGCTGTATGCCCATGTGCCCAAATGAGACATTCCCCGACCTCTTCACCCTGGGAGTGGCTGGCACCAACGGCACTGACTGCTTTTTCGCGTCCTGTCTCCCGGAGCAGGGCGGGTTATTTAAGCTGCTTACCCTCTGGCTGGGGTGGAGAAGTGTAAACCATTTACTTTTTTTTTAACCTTTAAAAAAGTTAATTTAAGAGAGAAAAAGACCAATTTGTTTACTTATTTGTACACTTATTGGTTGACCCTTAAATGTGCCCTGACCGGGGACTGAACTCGCAACCTTGGTGCTTCGAGACAATGCTCTCACCAACTGAGCAGTCCAGCCTGGGTGCTAAACCACTTTCTCTAAGTGTCTTTGGTTTAAGGAAGACAGGATTGTGCGATTTACTAGGTGGCTCTAAACTGCTTGGCCATTTAATCATCTCACTTTCCCTGTTCCACCCGCCCTGGCTGACTGGCTTGTCTCATTTCCATGTTAACCTCTGGTCTGGCTTGAGTCTTGAATTAATTCTTTCCTGCTCAAACCAAGAACCATCTTAGCTGGGGCCTGAGTCTGCACGAGGAACTCCCTCCTCCGGCATCAGTGGGCCCTGGCACCACTGGTAAGCAAAATGCAAACATTTCCCTGTGGCCTACATTAATTTTACAAACTGTGCATTGACTTTCTTGTTTGCACTTTCACATGATTAACTATTTGATGATGATTTTGTAGTTGCTCACAAAGTCTTACTGATACAGACGTCTAGTCAGAGCACTAGGGAGGAGAAGGGAGGGGTGGTAGGAGGAGGTTGCCCCAGGCAACGGTAAAAGCCTAGGAGATGATTGGCTGAGAAGCTGAATGCCTCCAGAGTGTGTGGAATTATGGGCAAGAAGATTTAAAATAAGAAGAGGGCAGAGACTGGCTCTCAGGCTCTCTTCCTTGAGGATGCCTGGATGATCATGCTGCGGCTGCCTGCATTTCCCAAAGGATGTAGTTTGGATGGATTTTGGATGGGAAAAGAAACTCCGGGCACAGCCTAGGACTGGGCCGGCCTGGCAGACGGTGACAGGGTTATTCTTCCTTGGGTGGCCTAGAGGGGACAGGCTCTGCCATTCTTCCAAAATTGTGTAGCTTTTGTATCGTAGTTGTTTTAGTTTGTAAAGTAACCCTATAGAAATAAAATAATTAAAGACTGGGGAAATGCTAGGAGGAGAGCTCTGGTGTTAAAGATTTTAGCCTTAATTTGTAGGCTTAAGTGATTAAAGAGGTAAGTGGACTAGTGCATGTGGAAAGCTGTTATTCCAAAATTGTGAAGCTTTCGAATACAGACTCCTTTCCTTTATCACCAAACCTTTGCCTCTGGAATTTTGCCCAGAGGGTGGCGGCGGGCGGCGGGACCCCGCTCACGGTTTGGTAACATTACCCAATCCTGGCCTGAGGAAAGCATTCTGTATTTTGCCATGTATAATGCGCACTTTTTTGCCCAGATTTTTGAGGCAAAAATAAGGATGTGCGCTATACATGTATAGCACCTGAAATCCCTTGTATCTGTTCTTGTGTTTCATAGTTATTTGTTACATAAAATTTCTTGTACCATACCATGTTCAAAAATAAATGCTAAAATTCCTTTGTAATACAAAACCCAAGTATCTAAATATAAATAAATAGAAAATTGAATTTAAAAATTAAAATGAAAGTTTTTTTCCTGAAAGTTTGGGCCCAAAACATGCATGCGCATTATACATGGGAGCACATTATATACGGCAAACTACAGTCACTCCAGAGCCTGGCGAGCTAACGTGTTTTTCTTCTAGGGCCCAACACACTCGTCCTGTGTTCCCTTCAATTGCACAAGTAACCTCACACTTAAATGATAATTTAGACCCTTTGATAATTGTTCTAACATCCAACAATTTCTCAGATGCAAAACACAAAGATGCCCAGGGCCATTATTTAGTATCGAGACCTTCTTGTGAGGCTCAGAGAGGCACAGATTCAGTTTCTAATGTTACTGTCCATGGCTCTAGTTTTGAGTCTTAAGGACAACCTGCCTATCGGCCATTTTTCTCATTAGTCCAAATCAACAGCTATGCAGCAGGTCTGTCGTGCGGAGCTAGCGAGGAGGTCTCGGTGCTGCTTTGTCGAAAACTGCTAAGCTCTTTTCCACCGAGCACCTCTGAGATATTTGTGGTAAGTTTTTGTTCCACCGTTCAATTATTCCCAGCAGTCCAATTTCAAGTTTTTCCCATTTCCATTGCAACTGTATCATTGATAGGGAGAGCTCAAGAGTTAAAGACTCTAGCCGTAGTTGTCAGGCTTAAGTGACTGCATGTGGACAGTTGTTATTCCAGGAGCCAGAATGCATGGCCACAGTGACTCCAGGTGCTTGACAAACAATTCAGCCTTGTCCCTCAGAGGGCCTGCCAGCCACGGAGGTGGTATCTGGGCCATTGTGCTCCAGGACAAAACACTGGGGGTGCAGATAAAGAATTGTTGATCAACAGATAAAGTAGTAGGAAAATCACAGCTGGACTCAACTCTTCTCCAATTAACCCTTTTTCCCCAACTCCTTACTTACCCTTCCATCTAACCTTTTTTCCAGACCTCGTACCCATCGTTTCTTCTTATAAAGAGGTCAACTTGAAATGAGACGTCAAGACGGTGTTTGAGGTTACATAACCTTCTGTCTCCTCAGATCACTGGCCATATGAATAAAGTGCTGACAAAGATTCAATCCTTGTCTC